GCACCAAATAAAATCATCTTACAATCATCAGGAGTCCCTGAAATTGCCGAGTATGATATCTTTAATGTTCCTGAGAGAAACCTAAATGCCCGATGCAGTAAAGAGTTTTTCTTCGGCTCTAAACTGCACATTTCCAGCACATCTTCTGTAACACAGACCTCAAACTACTAGAGAAAATCCGATTGGTACTTTATTTTCTCATAGATGAGGTACTTCATTCGCTAAAGCACGACAGTTCCTACGAAACGTCAGGATCGTCCGGACTGTTGGTGCGGTACCTCGGTGCTACTGAAAAGGAGCAAAGCGCCAGGCGTAGCCAAAGGTTTCTATAATGCTCTCTTCGGTGCAAAATGCCAACTCGTTAGTATCATCCGCCAAGTGGTCGTTTTCTTCCTCGCAAAACTAGTCCGCGTACGCGCAAGTTCCCACGAAAATCAGGATTTTCTGAATTGTTGGTGCAGAACCTCGAAATCTCTCGGATGTAGCCTAAGGTGTGATTTCCAGCTTGAGGCCCAAGCTCCCAGCCTACATTCTGCAAAATGCACGTCAATTCGCAGTTTACCAACAGTTTTCTTTTTCACAAGTAGCACTCCAATTCACAAATATCAGGATCGCTCGGTTTGTTGGTTCTTGATGATTCTAAGACGTGAGTGCCAGGAGCAGCCAAACGTGTCATTCCTGTCTTGAAATCTTTAATTTACCCTGCACGGCCTCCGCGATTCTGAGACGTAACTAAACACCGGGAGCAGACAAAGGAGTCATTTTTGTTTTGAAATTCTTAACTGTGCGACATAACTGCCCAGGACCGCATGGTTGGTGCTCTTCCTCCTCGTAGGGGTTTTCCTCCTCTTCGGGTTTTCCACAGTCCATCTCGCAGGTAACGGCATTCGGAAGTAGTCCCAGTTCTCTTTCACGACACCACTATCACCAGGAATGCCCGAGAATTGCTCGCGTGGATCTTCGATGTTTCTGGGATGCAGCTAAGTATCCCTTCAGTCTCGAGCTGTGTATTCCGTGCCTGCCTTTCTCAGGTCTCTCGGAGCAATCCATCCGAATGGTCACTTTCATTCTCGCACGTCTGTTTCTCACGCAGCACTCGTCGGTTTTCAGCATAGCTAGGGGCAACGCATTCACTCTTTCTCTGCGTTCCGCTCAGATGGAAAAGTGTCTCATCGTTTGTGAGGTAAAGAAGCGGCCCTTCCAGCACCGCCTCCCATCGCTCTCAATGCGTTAGTCAGGGCTTGCTTTTTTTTGCTTCGGCGGGTTGCCGCGTTTCACATCCGTACATCAATATTTTCATCGCAGTGGTACTGAAGAGGTCGTTACGGGTTTTGCGACGATGCGGGTGCCGAAATCCATGTTGCTGTTACTCTGTGTATCCAAAGGTGACGGTATTCGGAAGTAGCCCGAGTGGTAGCATAAAACAGCACGTCTGGCGATGGTTCTCCATTTTTATAGTGGTAGTTCTTCAGCTGTTTTGAGCATTGTCGCATCGCCTTATTGGATTCAACTTGCTGGCGATCCTGACGTTCGTCTCGTCTCCTGAAACAGATTATCAAACCCACAGTCTTCCCGGGAAAAGGTTTTAGACGTTTCAAGATCTCCTTGATGCGTGTTATGTGTGTATGTGTTGTGTGTGT